AATCCAAGGTCATGAAGCCCTCCCAGGTTTCTTGATTTCTGATGATATAAATAAAGGAAATTTGCTCTTTCTGCGTCTTTTTTAGACTTTTCTAGGTTATGTGGTTTTGTTTTTGTTGTGGTTGTTTTTTTTTTTTCAAGTTTTTGAAAGTTCTTTTCCAGCGCTTTTCGTAGATTTGTTCAGTGGTGATGGTGATGAGTGTTGAGCTGGTGGTTGGAATGTAAATATTTTGGTTGTGTGAAACTATGATGAATATAATAGCTTTTCATTTGTTTGTCTTAATATCTTATAAATTAGTTGTAACTGTTGTTTAATCTTACCAAGGATATTGACAAAATTCTCCGAGGCTCAGCTCGCTGTAGTCTCAAAATACATGGCTTGATGCAAAATTCGAAAGAGATGATTGGATGGTATGTTTCTTGTAGGGGTGGACACTATTAAATCTCATAATATGTCAACTTTCACTATTACATGTTAACTTTCATAATAATATGTTAACTTTCTTCATAAATTATGTTAACTTTTATTATTATATGTTAACTTTCATCATAATATGTTAACTTTCATCTTAATATGTTAACTTTCTTCGTAACATATTAACTTTCAGCTGAACATGTTAACTTTCAGTTGAATATGTTAACATACAGCTGTAAGATCATGTATTTAAGCAATATCATTCAAACAATCTTGCAGCTAAAAGTTAACATATTCAGCTGAAAGTTAACATGTTCAGCTGAAAGTTAACATGTTACGAAGAATAAATAACATATTACGAAAAAAGTTAACATATTACGAAGAAAGTTAACATATTCTTTAACCCTTAACATATTCAGTTGCATGTTATCATGTTATAAAGAAGGTTGGCATGTAATAGTAAATGTTAATATATTACGCTGAAAGTTAACATGTTCATAAGAAAGTTAACATATGCAGATGAAAGTTAACATATACAGCTGATAGTTAACATGTTCACGTGAATGTTAGCATGTAAACCTGAACATTATCATGTTATGAAGAAAGTTAACATATTATGGTGAAAGTGAATATGTAATAGTGAAGGTTAACATATTATGATGAAAGTTAACATGTTTAGCTGACAGTTAACATGTTATGAAAAAAGTTAACATATTATTATAAAAGTTAACATATTATTATAAAAGTTAACATATATATATATTGTAGGCTGTCTAAAAATCATAATAGATAGCTGATCCCCATCAAACACCGATGATGGAAGTTACAATCTGACGACTTCCAGAAGGCTACAATTTGAAGACTTTCACGTAGATCGCTGAAGGTTACAATCTGACGACCTTCATGACAACCGATGAGAGCTCTAGTTTAACAGCCTTCACAATCAACATCGAGAGTTACAATCTGATGACTCTTGCATATCAAAGAGCTAAAGTAAAGATTACAAAATGACGATCTTTGCAAAACTTCGATAGAAAGAGACTACAAATCGACGGTCTCTTCAAATCAAGACGTGAAAGTCCTCCCCGCGTACCAGCATCAAGATGCGTCGCGTTTATAGCCATGAACGCAGCTCAAATGCAACTCTAAAAGTTACAAACGCAGCTCCAAAAGCTACAAACGCAGCTCAGATTCGGCCACCAACGCAGCTCTTAAATCGTACAAACGCAGCTTCCAAATTGCTGTAAACGCAGCTCAGATCCGCTGCCAAACGCAGCTCTTAAATCGCTGCAAGTGAGCTTCCAAACGCTGCGTCCGAGCTTCCGGATGTTGCGTTCAAGCTTTTAGGCATTGCGTTTGAACGCAGAATTCGCATCAGAACACAGATTTTGCGTTTGACTCGTTCAAACACGAGCTGAACGGTTTCAAAACCGTTTCCTACGATCTGAGGGGATCACAACTCCACTCAGGAGTGATTTAAGGGGCGGTTACATCCCATTAGCCCCACTTAGGAGCGAATTAAGGAGATGGTTACACCCCTTAATCCCCTATAAATAACTAAAAATCAATTCAGTTCAGGTTGGGTCGGTTGGAACTTCTTGGCAGCGAAAAGAGGATCCTTCATCATTCGGTTGGAGCTTTGGAGATCGGCAACAAGATCTTCTTCATCCTTGGCTTATAACCGACTTTCGGTTAAATCAACTCTTTCATAGAGTTTTAAACTCGTTCAGAGTTCTCCACAACGTCAAATCGTGAGGAGAAGACTGTGCGTGCAATGCACGTGGTAATTTTTAAATACATTTATAATTTTATTTAGAGAAATTTTTTAATTAAATTATTGAATGTAAGCAATGGATCAAACATATAGACATAAGCTAAAAATTCAATATTTGAATAATAAAATTACATTTAGTGATTGATTAGATGATAGTACACTGATTGCATCTATAACGTGATCGAATATCATGTGCATTTAAAATAGAATAAAAATATCTTTGTTTATTAGTAGATCACGTGGTCAAATATCATGGTTATTTAAATTAATAAAAATAGAATAAAAATAAAAGAGAAAATAAAGTTTTTTTGCGAAATTAATTGTCCACACAATAATCTCTCTTTTAAATAAAATATTATCATTATTTCCTTCAATCCAGACTGTCGCCACATGATCTACTATTTGGGAGTTATAAACACATTGATCTAGTACAATATCTTTGTTTATTAGAATCTTGAAGTCTTTAAAAGATGTGTGATCATTCAATTCGCAAAGGAATTTTTTATATGAATTTATTTGCAATATGTCCATTAAATCTTTAGTTGTCGTTTGACTCATATTCATATTAACTTTTAGTTGTGGTTTTACTCATATTTATGTTATCTAATATTCTCATTCAATTTTATAGCCCATTCTCCGTACCATAGAAGTAAAACTGAAAGTATGAATAATTATTTTCTTGCAAAATTAGAGTAGGGAGATTATGATATATTTTGCTATGTACTTTAAATATAAAAATATCTTTGATGCAATGTCCCTATCAAATCTTACCCCAAACAATATAAATGGAGAATGCTATTATAACTTATTTACCTGGAGCAATTATATTATATATAGGACATATATAGTAGTCTCATATATTTTCTGGTTCTGACTGCAAAATACGCAAGAGTGGTAGTCTCGTGTATTTTTCGTCTTTAATTACTTTTGTGATTAATGTTCTCTAATTACACGGGACTATTAGTCTCGTGTATTTTAAAAATGATTTTTATACAAAATTGACCTCTTTATTGCCAGTCTTGATGGTGTGGCAAAAAATAAGTCAATTTTGTTAATTATTATGTAAAACAGTCGATTTTGCTAATATTTTAAAAAAATGATCTTTTTAAAAATTCTCCTAAAATAAACTGTTAATTCAAAATATGAAATGGACGGAAGACCTAAACGGTCTGGTGATTAATTGACCCATAAATATGTCAAAAATAACAATTAAAATAAAATAATATTTAAATTGAATCTAACAAGAGACTCCACAGAATGAAGCATGAAATGGATCCAATAAATTATTAAAAGAGAATTAAAGAAACTAATTAAAAAAATATGAGATCGAGAGATAGAGGGAGAGAAGACCTCGCCGACATAAATTCTATTTCTCTTCGAGTGTGACATCAAAATTGGTGGATAATAAGCGAGGAGAAAAATAAACAGAATAGGTGACAAAGTGGGTGTGCTTATATAAATAGGTTATTAAGATATTCGTCCTGAAATCTTAAATACATACATGTTAGTCTCTAACATCTTTGTAATTTCTCATAACAATGATATTACTATTTAGTATTAAATCGATTTCATTATATAAGATTATATACCCTTTTTAATAAATTATAAAGTATATATGGAAACTTCAATGCTTATAGCCATTAGTTGGGCTCCACAGAATAGGTTAACTTTACATTATAGTTTGCTATTGATAATACAATTATAGCAATGCCATTACTTTTCCTATTTATCTTATTATTCACATTTATCTGATGTAAGTCCTCTTTCGCTAGTCACTCGATTGACTCAATTTTATTTTTATAATATCAGATGTTAGAATATTTTTTTTATTTAAAAAATGTAGACATGATTATCTTAAAAAATATATATATATATACACATAGTAACAATAGTATATACTTCAGTTCAACTCAAACATTAGCTTGAAGCCATTTAGAATGAGGTTCTGTCTATGCTAGAATAGTGACATAGTGATTACATAATCCAAAAGTCAAAGAAGAAATTTCTACAAAGAAAAAATAATATAATATGTCAAATTAATAACTAATTGATAAAATATACATGGTGATGCAGCATAATTATGTACCAAAATTGCAAGTGCACAATTTATCAAGTTATAGTATAAAAAGATATCGATCCCACGAAGAAGGTGATTTTAAGAGATTATTAAACTTGGTTCTTATATTTTGTGCGTGACAATTAGGAATAAAGAATAAGTGTGAATGTGATGAGTGATTGTTGTGAATATTTGCAAAAGATAATAAATTGATTTTTAGAGGAGAGAAGGAAGAATTAAAGAATAAATGAAATCATAAGGCAAGAAATATGAATTAATAAAATCAAGAAATAAAACCAAAAATGAAAAGAAAATTTAAGAAAGTTAAGATGAAGGATTCAAAAGAGGTAAGAAATCTAGAATATAATCCACTAACCAATTTCAATTACAAAATATAAACTATTCTCTTTTTATCATATTTCAACTTAGATTTATTAAGCATAGATTATCAAACCATTTAAGGAAAGTGTAACCTATCAAATTATCATCTAAGTTAAAATTACTATTCATGATAAGAACAACAACATGATAATAATCCTAGAATTCATAAGCATAACCTATCAAACCATTTAAGATAAGCATAGATTATCAAATTCTTCTTCTACCGATTAGTTCTCTAGTTGATTATCCTAAACATGAACATTTTAAGTACAAGAGAATAATTCATACAATATAAAAGAAATTAGACTAGTTTCATACAATTCTAAGATTCCTACAAGAATTAAATTCACATCTTAAGAAATAAAAACAAGAAAAAGAAGACTAATTACAAAATTAAAAAGAAAAGAAAAATCTAAACTATGAACAAGAAATAAATCTAATTACAAAGAAAATAAAAATCTAAACTACAAAATAAATTGCAGAAATTAAATGCAAGAAAAATAAATCTACTCTACAAATTAAAGTGCAAAAAGAAAATAAAAAAGACAAGAAAAAATTAAATCTACACTACAAGCATGAATTTAAATCTAACTAATAAGCAATAATAAAGAAATTACTAAAAAGAAATAAAAGAGAAAAGAAATGCAAACCTTCAAA